CTTCTCGCATTAAAACAAATGCACCTCAGACCACCTGTCCCTTTGCGTTCATCATCTGCTGTCTGCCTACCCTTCCCCTTTGTCACACTGACTTCATTATCTAGTTCCTTACAGGCTTTAGTTACTACCTCCTTACTGTCCACTGACCTCCTCATTTGGTTCCCATCCCCCTGCCACATTAGTTTAAACCCTCCCCAACAGCGTAAGCAAAAACACCCCCTAGGACATTGGTTCCAGTCCTGCCCAGGTGTAGACCGTTCGATTTGTAATAGTCCCACCTCTCCCAGAACCGGTCCCAATGTCCCAAAGATCTGAACCCCTCCCTCCTGCACCATCTCTCAAGCCACTCATTTATCCTGCCTATTCTTTCATTTCTACTCTGACTAGCACGTGGCACTGGTAGCAATCCTGAGATTACTACCTACGTTTTAAATCGGCTCCTAACTCCCTAAATTCTGCTTGTAGGACCTCATCCCGTTTATTACCTATATCATTGGTGCCTATATGCACCATGATAGCTGGCTGTTCACCCTCCCCCTTCAGAATGTCCTGCAGTCGATGTGAGACATTCCTGACCCGTGCACCTGGGAGGCAACATACCATTCGGGAGTCTCGTTTTCAACCACAGAACCGCATATCTACTCCCCTTACAACTGAATCCCCTATGACTATAGCCCTTCCACTCTTTTTCCTGACCTTCTGTACAGCAGAGCCAGCCACGGTGCCATGAACCTGGTGACTGCTGCCTTCCCCTGGTGAGCAATCTCCCCCAACATATCCAAAACGGTATACCTGTTTTGGAGGGAGATGACCGCAGGGGGCACCTTCCCGGCAGGCCCCTGGTCCTCGCTCTCACCGCTCCCGCTGCTGCTGCTGCTGCAAAAATGGAGGCCGCTGAATGCACGAGGTAAATATTTAAATGGGAAACTTACCTTCCCAGCAGGCCCCTCGTCCTCGCTCTCACCACTCCCGGCACTGCTGCAAAAATGCAGACCGCTGATTCCATGAGGTTTGTATTTAAATGGGAAACTTACCTCCCGGCAGCCCCCTGGTCCTCGCTCTCACAACTTAAAAAAGGAACCAAGGCAGAGCCAGTCTCAAGAGCATAAGGCGAGGCTTGATGGCCTCTACTTCAATGTGAGGATTATCAGATGAGTTAAGGCTGTGAATTGACAACTTGGAACTGCGATGTTGTTGCAATCACAGATGTGATTGAGGGAGGGGCAGAGAAAAGCTTTTTATGCCAACATGTAGAGTCCTACAAGGTACAGTTGGTGCTGAACCTAATTTTAGGAAATGAAGCCAGATTGAGGTGACAGTGGGGGAGCATTTTAATGATAGCGACCACATCACCATATATTTTAAATTTGTTATGAAAAAAAATGAAAGGTGGTCTACAAAAAAGGGTTTTGGATTGGGGTAAGGCAGATACTATTAAAATAAGACAAGATTTGGCCAAAATGAACTGGGAACAGCTAATTGACGGTAAATCTGCAGGAGAACAGTGGGAGATGTTCATAAAGATACTGGGGAATACAGGCCCAACAGGAAATGTAGAAGCAGTAGGCCGAGATAACCCTGGATGTCGAGGAATACTCAGTACTGGATAAAAAGTAAAAGAGAGACAGGTTGTTACAGTTCTGAGGAAGGGTCACCGGACCCGAAACGTTAACTCTGTTTTTCCCTCCACAGATGCTGCCAGACCTGCTGAGCTTTTCCAGCAACTTTGTTTTTGTTCCTGATTTACAGCATCCGCAGTTCTTTTGGTTTTTAGTTACAAAAAGTGCTGTATTGGAGGTTTTGGAGGATTTAATAGTGGACAAATCCCCAGGTCTGGATGATTTGTATCTTAGGCTGTTATGAGAGATAAGGGAGGAAATTACAGGGGCTCTAACCCAAATTTCTAAATTTTCTCTGGCCACAGGGAGGTGCCAGAGGACTGGAGGACCTCCATTTGTTTCACTTTACAACAAGGGTGGTAGAGATAGACAAGGGAACTACAGACCAGTCAGTCTAACATCACTGGTAGGGAAGCTATTGGAGAAAATAGCAAAGGAGAAAATTTAACCTACATTTAGAGAGGCAAGGTTTGATCATGGATGGACAGCATGGCTTTGTCAGATGGAGGTCATGCCTAACAAATCTGATGGAATTTTTCAAGGAGGTGACCAAGTGTTGAGATGACGGTAAGACAGTGATGAAGTTTATATGGATTTCAGCAAGGGCTTTGGCATGGGGAATCTGATTAAAAAAGGTAGAAACTCATGGGATCAAGGGTAAATTAGCAAGTTGAATCCAAAATTGGCTTTGTGATAGGAGACAGAGGGTGGTGGTAGAAGACTGTTTGTGTAACTAGAGTCAGTGCACATTTACATAACACATGGCTCAGTGTTTGGCCCCTCATTGTTTGTGATAATTATGAATGACATAGGTGAGAATGTGGGTGGATGATAAAAGTTGACACAGAGTGAGTGTTTGATGGTGAGGAAGGAAGTGTTGGGTTATAAGTGGATTGGTCAGATGGACAGATCAGTGGCAGATGGAATTTAACCCTGATAAATGTGAGGTGATGCACTTTGTAAGAAGGAACCAGACAAGGGAGTACTCGGTGATTGGAAAGACACTAGGAAGCTAAGAGGAAGTGAGGGATCTTGGGGTGTTTGTCCACGGATCCCTGAAGGTGGCAGGACAAGTTAATAGGGTAGTTAAGAAAGCAAACAGGACATTTGCCTTTTTCAGTCACAGCATAGATTATAAGAACAGCTGTGCAGAAGTTTTGTCAGGCCATAGCTGAAATATTGTGTGCAGTTCTGGTCACCACACTACAAGGATGATGTGAATGGGATGGTGTGCAAAGGAGATTCACCAGGATTTTAAGGAGGAAGAAGATTTAAAAAAGACATGAGGGGCAATTTTTTTTTTACACAGTGTAATTCATGTGTGGAATGATCTTCCAGAGGAAGTGGCGGATGCGGGTACAGTTACAAAGACATTGAGATAAGTTCATGAATAAGAAATGTTTGGAGGGATATGGCCATGCGCAGGCAGGTGGGAATAATTTACTTTGGGGTATTGGTCGGCATGGACTGTTGGACCGAAGGGTCTGTTTCCATGCTGTATGACTCTATGTTGCCAGAGATGGAACATTTAGCTATGAAGAGAGGCTGGATAAGCTCTGGTTGTTTTTCTTTGGAGCAGAGAAGGTTGAGGGAGGACATGAAAGAGGTGTATAAGATTATGAAGAGCGTGGACAGGGTGAATAGATAGCAGCAGTTCCCCTTAGTCAAAGGGTCAGTAACAAGAGGGCATAATTTTAAAATGAAAAGCAGAACGTTTAGAGGGATATGAGAAATACCTTTTCACCCAGATAGTGTTTGGCATCTGGAATGCATTGTCTGGGAGGGTAGTTGAGGCAGAAAATCTCACAACTTTTAAAAAAGTACTTAGATGAGCACTTGAAATGTCATAACATTTGAGGCTATAGGCTTAGTGCAGGAAAATGTACGTAGTAGTGAATTTTTGGTGGTACTGACTCAATGGGCTGAAGGGCCTCATCTGTACTTTGTGATTCTATGACTCTAAAAGCATTGTCCTCATCTACATAGCTGGTCAGACATGACCTCCCCTTAACATAACCATGCTGACTGTTTATTTAGAACCCTACCTACATCCTCTGGCTCTATGCACAAATTACAGCTCTGGTCCTAAATGAGCTCTTTCCATAATTATTTTTGTATCCTTAATGTACGTGTAAAATAATTTTGGATTTTTTTATTATCTCTTTCCTTTATTTTACCTGCCATTATTCTTTTATGAAAACCAAAAGAAGTGTGGATGCTGTAAATCAGAAAGAATAACAGAAATTGCTGGAAAAGCTCAGAAGTTCTGGCAGCATCTGTGGAGAGAAATCAGAGTTAATATTTTGGGTTAAGTGACCTGCTAAGCATTTCCAGCAATTTCTGTTTTTGTTTATTATTCCTTTATGTCCCCTTTTATCTCTTTTTAAGTTTCCTCTTGCACATTCTATACCCCTCAAAGACTTCAGCTGTTTTGAGCCCCCGATGACTGCAATAAACTGTCCCTGTTCTCTTAATCTAATGCTATATATCCCTCAATATTCAGGGATCACAGGATTTGATGGCCCTGTCCTTTTTCTTTATTGGAACACGTTGGGCCTGAACTCTCCATGTTTCTTCTGAGGAGGGGTTGAGTTGATTGAGCCCGTACTCGTTGAAAATAGAAGAATGAGCAGTGACCTTATTGAAACTTACATGATTCTTAGAGGACTTAGTGTCACATAGCATGGAAACAGGTGCTGCCCAGTTTTGACAATTAATCTAGTCACATGTGGTCCATATCCATCCATACCAATTCCATCCATGGGGTTGTCCAAATGTTTCTTAAATGACAAAATTGTACTCACCTCCACCACTACCTCTGGCAGCCCGTTTTCCAGACACTCTCCACTTTCTGTGTGAAAGAACTGCCCTTCTGGACCCTTTTGTGTTTCTTCTCTTAAGCCTATGCCCCCTAGTTTTAGACTCCCCCATCACGAGGAAAAGCAGTTGTCCATCTACCTTATCTATGCCTCTCGTGAATAGACCTCTTTAAGCTCACCCCTCAGTCTGAACTCCAGGGAAAAGCTCCCAGCTTATGCAGCCTATCCTTATAAATCAAACTTTCCAGTCCAGGTGGCATCCTAGTAAATCTTTTTTGCACTCTAAGTTTAGTAATATCCTTTCTAAAGTAGAACTGCATGTAGTACTCCAAATATGGCCTGAAAAAAAATTTTTTCTGTAGAAGGGTCTAGACCCAAAACATCAGCTTTCCTGCTTCTCTGATGCTGCCTTGGCCTGCTGTGTTCATCCAGCTCTACACCTTGTTATCTCAGATTCTCCCGCATCGGCAGTTCCTACTATCTCTCTACCACAGGATGTAGTTGTAAAATAAGTCTCTAATTATTTATTTTGTTAATTATGTTTAATGCATTTATTTTTCAGAAAGTATCCGAAGAAAAGCAAATGCTGACTGCAGTTCTCCCAGGAAATGTGCAGTGATGTGATGTCTGAGGAACTGAATCCTGAAGATTTAGAGTAACTGAAGAATTTTGTTCCCATGAACAAGAGTCAGAGTGTAGATGCTGAACTTTGAGCAAGGATTGGCACTACCAAAAAGTAACTGTGTGGATTTTCAAATTAACTACTTGATCTCAACACATCAGTACAAAATCTATAAGCGGATTTGGTCACATAATGAGTGATAATCACACCATCACAACCTGACTGCAATTATACAGATCATTATTATTTCTATTAAACTACATAAAAGATTGTGATGCTGTAAAAGTCAAAGTTACAAAAAAGGGTGGCCCAAATTTTAATTTGAATTGATCAGTTTTTCTGGGACATTTGATAATTAAATCATTGATAACCAAAAAAAAGGCAGTACTTACCCAAACCTTTGCAACAGGATCAGGCAGCAAACACAAGGGTCGGTTGCTTGTGTAATGCTTGGAAAGATAATACAAGGAATTCATTCATCTTTAGCGGATGCAGTGTTTTATACACTACTAAAATTAGCAATTCCAGAATTGCATCCACAAATATGAGCGTGTTCTCTCACAAAGACCAAGTGATGGTTATTTTGGGGAGGACTGGAATATATATCTATTTCAATGAAGATTTTCTCCATCAAAAACATCACTATTTTTCAATATATTTATTTAATTTATTCATTAATACTTTTCAATACATTCATTTAGAATTAATCAATTTTTTGTACAACTGAATGAAATTGCTGCTCATCATTGCATTGTTGATTTTAAAAAGTGCCATGGTTTACAGCAAAAACTATTGTTGTAACTTGGCACAATGGTGTCAACATCATCACACTACCAGCCTATTACCCTCAGCCAGGAGCCATTACTCTAACTGTCTATGTCATAGATCTGTTTACCAACCTGCTTATCATGTCTACATCTGATCAGGGAGTTCCTCTGATCCCCCTGCACCTTGGTATATGGGTGACAAGTCTACTGCCTGCTTTGATCAATGTTCATCGAATGGATGTTAGGTGAGAATTCTTTGGATGTACTTATGAATAGTTTCGGACTAATACACTATGCAAGAGATAAAATTCAATCACCTGATATTCCAGTATATTTTCTGTAACAACACAAATAACTTGTGTGTTTTTCTGAGAGCTGACCCTTTGTGAACCAAATTTAAAATCAAAGCATGCTCAAATATAGATTAACAACAAGTCCCACATCCTACAGACTAAGGGGGTGGCCAGGGGAACCCGCATGGGCCCAAGCTATACCTGCATCTTCTTAGGATACGTGGAACAATCCCTCTTCCGCTGCTGCACTAGCACTATTCCCCACCTCTTCCTCCACTACATCGATGACAGTATTGGCACTGCCTCGTGCTCCCAGGAAGTGCTTGAACAGTTCATCAACTTTACTAACACCTTTCACCCCAACCTCAAGTTCACCTGGACCATCTCTGATACTTCTCTCTCCTTCCTGAACCTCTCTGTCTCCATCTCTAGTGACCACCTCGAAACTGATATCTATTTCAAGCCCACCAACTCCCACAGCTACCTTGACTACACCACTTCTCACCCACCTTCCTGAAAGAATGCGATCCCCTACTCCCAATTCCTCTGCCTCCGCCGCGTCTGCTCCCAAGATGGCACGTTCCACTCCCGAACATCCCAGATGTCCTCTTATTTCAAGGACCGCAACTTGCCCCCTTCGGTGCTCGAGAATGCTCTCAACAGCATCTCTTGCGTTTCCCACATCTCTGCTCTCATATCCCCTCCCCCAACAAAAACAAAGACAGAATCACCCTTGTCCTCACATATCACCCCACTCATCTCCGTTTCCAACATATCATTCTCTGCCACCCACAATCCGGCCCCACAACCAAAGATATATTTCCCTCCCCCACCCCTATCTGCCTTTTCTAAGGACCAATCTCTCACGACTCCCTCATCCGCTCCACACTCCCCACTAGTCCCACCATCCCTGGCACCTTTCCCTGCAACCACAGGAAGTGCTACACCTGCTCCTACACCTCCCCCATCACCTCCATACAAGAACCCAAAAAAACCTTCCACATCAGACAAATGTTCACCTGCACATCCGTCAATGTGGTCTATTGCTCCCGATGTGGCCTCCTCTACATCGGTGAGACCAAGCGGAGGCTCAGAGACCGCTTTGTCGAGCACCCGCGCTTTGTTCGTGACAAATGACAACACCTCTGGTTGCGAACCATTTCAACTCCCCCTCCCACACCCTGGACGACTTGTCCATTCTGGGCCTCTTCCAGTGTCACAATGACACCACCTGAAAACTGGAGGAGCAGCACCTCATATTCCGCATTGGGAGCCCAAAGACCTAAACGTGGACTTTACCAGTTTCAAAATCTCCCTACCCCCGGCCTCATCCCATGACCAACCCTTCCTCTCAGCCCCACCTCCTTGACCTGTCCTCTTCTCTCCAACCTATCCGCTCCTCCCACCTCACTGACCAATCCCCACCGTTGCCTACCTGCACTCACCTATCACCATCCCACCTACCTTCCTCAGCCCTACCCCTACTCTCAGAGCTCCCTGACCCCTCCCCCATTTCTGAAGAAGGGTCCTGAGCCGAAATGTCAATTTTCCTGCTCCCCTGATGCTGCCTGGCCTGCTGTGTTCCTCCAGTTCCACACTGTGTTATCTACTGGGCTTGTACTCCATTATCCACTAAGATTTACAGTGGCTCCAATCTGCGTTAAGATTGTTCAAAATCTTCCTCTTTAGCTGATGCGTCCATGTTTGAACAATGCAAATTGTTGGATTTGACTTAGTTTCAAGAGGTCTAGCCTGTCACAACTGAGGATGAGAAAGAGTTGGAATAGATGCAGCTTTCCTCTATGAAAAGTTGTATCGGCCTCAGCATTGAAAGAAACCCAGTAGCAATGGTTTCTCATCTCTAAAATCTAAGTGCCTGATTTTCATATCACAAAGGAGCAGAAATTCTAGCAATCGTTTTGAAGTGCAGTGATTACGGGCTTTAAAGATAACTGTTTTATCACTATGGTCAGTGAGTCTCAGCACTATGTGTTCATAATCATTTCTCCTATGTTCAAAATACTTGCATTGTAGAAACTGTTCAGCAAAGGTTTCTGTTAGTCAGTTTCATACTTCCAAGTGACAATCTGCATTTGTACAGTAATCTTAATGTAGAAAGAGAAGTCAAAACTTCACACAAGAAAAATTGGACAAGCACAACAAAGAAGTTTATTTGAACAAATAAAACAGAACATGCTAGACTTACTTCAACTTGCCAGCATTTTGCTTTTATGTTTAAACAATGCTGTTTTGTAAGACCATAATAAACAGGAACAGGAATAGGCCAATTGGCCTTTCGAGCCTGCTAAGTCATTCAATGGGATCATGGCTGATCCGATATTCCTTATGTCTATTTTCCTACCTTTTCTCCATAATCTCTGATTGCCACTAATCAAGAATATATCTATTTCAATCTTAGACATACACAAGGATTCTGCCCCCACAGCTCACTGTGTCAAGAAGTTCCAAAGGCTTACACTCTCTGAGAGAAGAAATTTCTCCTCATCTCAATCTTAAATTGGCACCCTTTTATTCTAAGTCAATGTCCTCTGGTCCCAGACTCTTGCATGAGGGGAAACAGCCTCTTAAAGATTTATTCTGTCAAGTCCTTTAAGAAGCCTGTGTGTTTTAATGAGGTCACCTCTCATTCTCCTAAACTCCAGTGAGCAGAGTCCCTTTGCTCATAAGACAATTCCTCCAGACCAAGGCTCATCCTTGTGAATCGTCCCTGGGAGAGTGCAGGGTCATCATGTTCCAATAAAGACAAAGGGTGGGACCATCAAATTCTATGAACCTTAAATATCAAGGAATATACCTGATTGGATAAAGAGCAAAAGGGAATCTTACAGCAGATACCAAGCATGGTGGCTCAGTGGTTAGCACTGCTGCCTCACAGTGCCAAGGACCCCAGATCAATTCCAGTCTCGGGCAACTGGGTGAAAGGATTTTGCGCATTCTCCCCATGTCTGCATGGGTTTCTTCTGGGTGCTCCGGTTTCCTTCCATAGTCCAAAGATGTGCAGGTTAGGTGGATTGCCCAAAACATAATTGCCCATGGTGGTCCAGGGATGTGCAAGCTAGGTGGTTTAGTCATAGAAAATGCAGGGTTACAGGAATGGGGTAGATATTCTTAGGACGGTCTGTGTGGGCTTGTTGGGCCGAATATCCTGTTTCCACCCTGTAGAGATTCTGTGAAGAGTACAGAATGTGCAAACGTGTAGTGATTGGAACCAGGTGGATCTTGTTGACTACGAGATCCTTGATTGTGGTTGTTAACCTGGGTCAATCAGGAAGCACTGGTTGACCAGTATAAACGGGGGATTTAGAATCTCCCGAGTTCAGGGGACTGACTCCGAGTGGGCTGGCAATGGCTAGTGTACCGTGTACAATTAAATAAAGGGTACCTCTGTGACGGGACACCAGCCTCTGTGCAGTTATTTCAGTGGTGATGGGAGAAAACAGTACATGGCTGAAGAACATTCACTTGCAACAGTTATCTTGGAGTTGGGGTAAACATTTCTGGTATCATGCCTTTATTTGGGAAGCTTAATTTGTTTGATCCTGCTGTTGTAGACTGGCCCAGTATGTGGAAAGAATGTGATTTTTTTTTCTAGACAAATGACATTGGGGCAGATGAAAAGCAACAAGTAATCTTTCTGACTGCTTGCGGACCTGCAGCATTTTCGGTTATAAAGTGCCTAACTTTCCCAGAGGCACCAGACACTAAAACTTTCCAAAAGTTGACGGAGTTGGTTAAGGAATATTATGACCCCACACCTCCTCTAATTCTGAATCATTATTGGTTTTATTTGGCTGTTAAGAGAACTGGTGTGAATCCATTTCAGGATTTTTGACGAGGTTAGGACAACTGGCAGAGGCATGTGATTTTGGGTTAACCCTAAATGAGATGCTGAGAGACCATTTGGATGTGGGATTAATGACATAACCATGCATAAGCGCCTACTAGCTGAATCCCAACTGGACTTCAAACAGGCACTACAACTGGCTTTGTCATTAGAAAATGTGGCAAGTTGAGCTTGGGAGCTAGAAGGCATCCCAATGAAAGTGGACACCTTCACCTGTCCTACTGAGCTTGGGGAACACTACTTGACTGTAGGCAATTGGAGAGCCTCATGCAGGGCATATCCTGAGCAGAGGGACCCTAGGTCAGCCCATAGCAGAACCCCACAATAATGCCAAGCATTGGCTAAAATGTTCTACAGGATCTGGGCCAGCAAGCCATTGTAGTTGTGAACTTGAGTCAGCCAAGAAGTCCTATAAGGCCTGACCTGAGCAGGAAAACTTGTATGCCAGTGCCCACGAGAGTGCACAGCCTGGAAAGTCCCCCTGCATGTGGGTTGGAACAATTAAATTGCTTAGCAACATCCAAATTGGAACCAATTAAAATGAATGTTTGTCTAAATGGTCACCCCGTTCCCATGGACGTCGATACTGGTGCATCTGTATCTGTGGTTGCAGAATCTATCTTTAACAAGATTCGCTTGAGACTCCAACCCTTAAGTTTGTGCAAGATCTCAGCCAGACTGAGAACATACACTGGGGAACCATTGCAGATTAAGTGTACGACTTTGGTTCCATTCTCCTATGAGAAGCAGTTGGTGCAGTTACCACTGATGGTAGTAAGAGGCTAAGGCCCAAGCCTATTGAGGTAGACTTGATTGAGGAAGGTTCACACTGATTGGCTCAACATTTTTCACTTAGAAAGTACCGATTGTGAAGACTGACTGCTCGGTTCGCCTTTGTGGAGATTTTAAGCAAATGGTAAATCGCTTCTCGCAGCTCGATAAATACCTAATCCCACACATAGAGGACTTGTATGCAAAGTTGGTGGTGAGGCATCATCAGGCAGTGGACCATGGAGAATATTTTACAAGGACTACCCAAGATTGCCATTTATCTGTATGATGTGCCAATCACTGGGAAGACCAATAAACAGCACTTGGAGAACTTGGACATAGTGCTTAAATATTTCTCCCAAGCAGGCCTTAGAAGGGAAAAATACGTGTTCCAGGCACCCCCAGTGACCTGCTTGGGTTACAGAATTGACAAAACTGGTTTACACTCTGTTGGAAGATAAAGTGAGGGCAATCAAAGGAGTCCTGGATCCCAAGTCTGTACCGGAGCGTAGGTCTTTTCTTGGGGTAGTGAATTATTACAGAAAATTCATATGTAACCTGGCCTCAATCTTGGCATCCTTACACCTGCTATTGAAACAGGGTCAGCCTTAGAAATGGTTGCATAGCCAAGAAGTAGCTTTTAGGAAAGTAAAAAAGCAGCTATCATCATCTAAGGTGTTGGCCTGCTATGATGAGAGGTGCCTCCCTGTACAGTATCAGGGTAGTGTGGGCTCACTGGTGGCCCAACAGAGAGGAATAACCAATAGCGTATGCTTCCCGGACTTTGACTGATACCAAATACAAATATGCCCAGATAGAGAAAGAAGGTTTGGCAGTCATCTTTGGTGTGAGGAAGTTCCACCAGTACCTTTACATATGGGAATTTTTCATAGTAACAGATCACAAACTCCCTGCCAGGGCTACTGAAGGAAGACAGTGCGGAACCGACCATAGCTTCTGATAGAATTCAGCGTTGGGCCCTTATTCTCAGCACATACAAGTTAGAACACTGTCCAGGAAGTGGCTAAGCCTTGAGCCAACTCCCACTGGTAGATACTCTACCAGTGGTGCCTCCCCTGGAAGAGTCCATTTTGGTTTTAAACTTCCTGGACATCCTTCCAGTCACCGCTGACAATATCCGACTGTGCACACAAAAAGATCTTGTCTTAGCAAAACTAAAACAGCTTGCGGTAATGGAAGGGAACTGGAAGGGCCATCGTAACCAGGATTGAAACTGTTCTTGACCCGGCAACACCAGTTCACCATAAAGGATTGCATATTACTATGGGCCACAAGGGTGATTGTCCCAACTAAAGGTCATCGCCAGATATTGGCTGAACTTCACCATGGTCATCCAGGTGTTTTGAAAATGAAGATGCAAGCAAGAAGCTATGTCTGGTGGCCAGGGTTGAATATTGACACAGCTGCATTGGTGGGACAGTGCCCAGAGTGCCAACAAGAACAAAAATTGCCACCAGCAGTGTCCCCACATTCGTGGGAATGGCCAGGTAAACCCTGGACTCAGTTGCATGTCGACTATGCCAGTCCTTTCATGGCCTCAACATTCCTGGTCATTGCCCATTCAAAGTTGTTGGACGTGCATAAAGTTCGTTCGGCAAATTTGGGAATGACAATTGAGAAGATGGATAGTGGGACATCTTTTACCAGCAGGAAATTCAAGTATTTCCTAATATCGAATGGCATTCGGCACATAAGTGCAGCTTCATCCCATCCATTGTCCAATGGTCTAGTGGAAAGACGATCCAAATGTTGAAAGCAGACTTAAATAAGCAGCCTACGGTGTCACTTGATACCAAACTGTCCAGGTTCCTGTTTGATCATAGGACTACACCTCACTCAACAACAGGAGTAGCTCCGGCAGAGTTGAGGATGGGGAGAAGACTCCGCAGCAGGTTAAACCTGATATTTCCAGACCTGGGGCATGGAGGGTGAAACGGCAGTAGGAATGCCAGTGCTGGCCAATTGCCTCCTCTAATCAAGAGAGACAGGTTAATTTGGGGGACGAAGTTTGGTGCCAGAACCATGGAAATGGCCTTGTATGGGTGAGGTTGATGTGAGCTCAGGTCCTGTGACTTACAAAATTTGGGTAGGTGAGGTGATCCAGAACAAACATGTGAATTACTTGTAAACTGTTACCTCACAGACAGGGCAAGAGCAAAACATTCCTGGCCCCTCAGAATGGCCAGAAGGCCTGTCAGAAACCATAGGTTCTTACCCTCCATCTAGTGTCGAGAAAACCTCTGAGTCTGAGATGGACGCAGCCTCAATTCCATTACTGCTAGAAGAGGAGGAGGAAACTCTCCCAAGACTGTCTGAGTGCAAGAGACAGGCTATGGTCTGGTACAGTCTGCCCGTATCAGAGTCCGAGTCAGAGGAACCGAAACTGGGGTGAAAACACCACAGGAAAAGCTACAAGAAAAAGACCAGGGCCTACATCCCTGGACTTGGGAGTGGGGTGGTAAGGATGTAGTGATTAGGAACCCAGGTGGATCTTGTTGACTATGAGCTCCTTGATTGGGGTTGTTAACCCTGAGCCAATCTGCAAGCCCTGGCTGACTAATATTAACCGGGGATGTAGACTTCTCTGTGATCACAGTTTGGCTATGAGCTGGCTGGTCACAGGCAGAGTACTATGCACAAGTACATAAAGGGTGACTTGGTGATGGGATACCAACAGCTTTTTGAAAGCAATAATTTAAAAAGGAAATTAGGAGAGCAAAAGGGGCAAGAAAGAACAATGGCAGATAAAATAAAGGAAAATCCCAAGTCATTTTACATGTATATTAAGGATATAAAGATAATTTGGGCGGGATGGTGGCTCAGTGGTTAGCACTGCTGCCTCACAGCCCCAGGGACCCAGGTTCGATTCCACTCTCGGGTGACTCTGTGGAGTTTGCACGTTCTCCCCGTGTCTACGTGGGTTTCCTCCGGGTATTCCGGTTTCCTCCCACAGTCCAAAATTGTGCAGGTTAGGTGGATTGGCCATGCTAAATTGCCCATGGTGTTCAGGGATGTGTAGATTAGGTGAGTTATATTATAGGGGAATGTGTCTGGGTGGGATGCTCTGAGGGTCGATGTGGACTTGTTGGGCCGAAGGGCCTGTTTCCGTACTGTCGGGATTCTATGAGACAACCCTTGAACATAGAACATAGAACATTACAGCGCAGTACAGGCCCTTTGGCCCTCAATGTTGCGCCGACCTGTGAAACCAATCTGAAGCCCATCTAACCTAAACTATTCCATTATCATCCATATGTTTATCCAATGACCGTTTAAATGCCCTTAAAGTGGGCGAGTCTACTATTTTTGCAGGCAGGGCATTCCACGCCCTTACTACTCTCTGAGTAAAGAGGAGAGGATCGATAGAGAAAGGGTAGGAATATTCAAGGACAAAGGGAATTTATGCATAGAGCCAAGGGAATTGGGTAAGGCCATTAATGAGTACTTTGCATCAATATTCACCAAGTAGAAGGACATGGATGATAGTAAGATTAAGGAGAGGTATGTTGATACTCTGGGGCATGTCGATATTAAGAAGGAGGAGTTGAGTATCTTGAAAAACTTTTAGAAAAGTCCCCAGAGATCTATCCCAAGGTACTGAGAGAGGCAAGGGAGGAAACTGCTGGGGCTTTAACAGAGATCTTTGTCTCCTTTTTTGCCACAGGTGAGGTACCAGAAGACTGGAGATTATCCAATATTGTTCCTTTGTTAGAGAAGGGCAACAGGGAAATTACAAGCTGGTCAACCTTATGTCAGTTTTAGGGAAATTATTGAAGATTCTGAGGGATAGGATCTCCTTGCATTTGAAAAAGAATGAACTTACTAGGGAGAATTAGCATGGCAATATTTTGAGGAAGTGACAAAGATGATTATTGACGGTAGGGCAGTAGATATTTTCTACATGGATTTTACTAAAGCATTCGACAAGGTTGGTCATAGTAGACTGGTCCAGAAGATTAAATCACATGGGATCGACAGTGAGTTGGTAAGTTAGATAAAAAATTGGCTTGGCCATAGAGACAGAGGGTATTTGTGGAAGGTTGTTTTTCTGGCTAGATGTCTGAGGAATCAATGCTGGGACCTGGAATGTGTTGCCAAGGGAGGTAGTAGAAGCAGATATAATAACAACATTTAAGAGGCATTGAGACGGACACGTGAACAGGCAGGGAATAGAGGGATACAAACGATGTGCAGTCAGGTGGGATTAGTTAAGAATGGCATCATGTTTGGCAGAGACATGATGTGCTGAAGGGCCTATGCCTGTGCTGTTCCAGTTCTATGTGTGATACAAAACTTGGATATGAAACTTGAAAAAATTATAAACTCTGAGGAGGACAGAGTAGAACTCCAAAAGGACATTGACTTTGCTGGAGTGGTTTGATAGGGTAGGAAGATAGGTGATAGATGGGGTTTAATATAGATGACAGGAGGATATAAACTGGCTGGTCAGATGAGCTGATCAATAGCAAATGGAATACACTCTGAGTAAGTGTGAGGTGATGCATTTGGGCAGGACAAACAAGGCAAGGGAATACATGATGAATGGTAGGACCCTGGGAAGCACCAAGGATGAGAATGACTGTGTCCACACATCCCTTAAGATGGTGGACAGGTAGGTAAAGTTGTTTAGAAGGCATACGGGATACCTGCCTTCATTAGCTGAGACACAGAATTTAAGAGCAGGAAGATTGGAACTGTATAAAACTTTAGTTAGATCACAGCTGGAGTATTATGTGCAGTTCTGGAATGTACCTAAGAGGAGAAACATGATTACACTGGAGAGAATGCAGAGGAAATTGACTAGGATGTTGCCTGGACTGGAGAGTTTTATTGATGAAGAGAATACTGGGGCTGTTTCCCTTGAAGCAGAGGAGGCTGTAAGGTTGTGATAGAGATGTTAAAATTATGAGTGGCATAGATAGGGTAGGCAGGAGAAAACGTTTCCCCTAAGGATTGGGATCGATGATCGGGGTCATAAATTTTAAGATAAGGGGCAGGTGGTTTAGAAGGGACGTGAGAAAAATGTTTTCACCCAAAGGGTGATGGGAATCTGGAACTTATTGTGAGTATGAAGAGGTTGAAATCTTCATAACATTTAAGAACTATTTAAATGTACGCTAGTGATGCCAAAGCAAACAAGGCCATGGACCAAGTGATATAAAATAGGATTAGAATAGTTAGGTGGTTCTTTTCAACTGGTGCAGAATCAATGGATGCTAGAAACATTTTATGTATTGTGACTCAAAGGCTCTATGACATCCTCCTGTAAGTTAATCATACAGTGTGATATATATTTGTTATTTAACCCCAGCAGATATAAAAGCCAAATAATTGTTTAATATTTCTTCCATCTCATCATTATCCAAGCTATCATTTAATGGTTCTATTCCCCCATCATAGCCTTTCTTTTTCATTTATGTACCAGTCTTCCATTTATCCCCAATATGCACGTTTGGCTGAAAGCCAAGATTAACATGACTGATTTAGTAGTGGGTAAAAGCATTCAGTTATGTGTGGTAATACTTCCAGATATTAAAAAAAAGAACGCCCAGACCAAAGAAAATTTAGCTCAGTAAGGGGTTCTGTTTTGACAGTAAAGAGTAACAGTGTGTTACTACGCATCTACAAGATGCGTTGCAGAAATTTGCTAAATATCATGAGGCAGCACCTTCCAAACCTACGACCATTTTCATCTGGAAGGACATGGGTAACAAATAAATGGAAAGAAGTTCCCACCGCCAAGTCACTCACCACCTTGAATTGGAAATATATCACTGTCCGGGTTCAAAATCCTGGCATTCCCTCCTCGACAGCATCGTAGGTCTGTGTACAGCGCACGGATTGCAGTGGTTCACGAAAGCAGCTCACCACCACCACCGTTTCAAGGGCAACAAGGAATGGGCAATAATTGCCAGTGGGACCGTAGTGCTCACATCCCACAAGTGAACTGAAAAATTGGAGACACAAGGGGACGACAGTGAAATAAGTTATAACATCAAAGGTTTGATTACATGTTACGTGGAAGAGTTATCTAGCCGTTTTCGCTGTATTCGTAATATTCCCGATTACAAAAGCCTTCTCCAAAATTTATAAATTGAATACTACTTCAATGGCAGCATTTGATTCCCAAAGTCCTTTACGCCAGGGATGTGTGCCTGTAACAGGCAAATGGCGCATGCGCGCCAGTAGTGCGGTCCAGTGGAGGTGCGCCTGCGCGCCGAGTTGGCCGGGCGGGCGCCATTTTCAGGTGAGAGGGGAAAAAAATCGGCAGTAACCGGGGTGAGAGGAATAATCAATACCTGACAGCTGTAAGGAAAGGGAATAAATATATCTTCGATACCCACGGTATAAGGAGGAGAGCATCCATTGGTGATAGTGGTGAATGTTTGCAGGAGAGAGTGCTTCGGCTGATGGTGTCCGCAGTAGTTGTGAACGTCTTTTATTGGTTGACGGGATGTGGGCATCGCTGGTTCCAGCAGTTTTTATTCCCCAATACCCCCAGAGGGCGGTTAGCAATCAACCGCATTGCCGTGGTTATAGATTCACGTTTTAGACCTGACTGGATGAGGATGGCAGCTTCCTTTTTTTTCCCCCCCTCAAGGACGCTAGTGAACAAACCGGGGGTTTCCCTAAAAGTCAATAGTGACTACACGGTCACCACAAGATGCTAGAGGAGGTTGACAAAAGTAGGTGCAGAGAGGATGCGTCCTGTGGAGGGGCAAACTAGTGTCATAGTTTCAGGACAGGGTTAATATTTAAAACAAGAGATGAAGGAAAATTACTTCTCTCAACGGGTTCACGAATCTGTGGAATTCAAATAAAAACCAAAAGAACTGCGGATGCTGTAAATCAGGAACAAAAACAAAGTTGCTGGAAAAGCGCAGCAGGTCTGGCAGCATCTGTGGAGGAGAAAACAGAGTTAACATTTCGGGTCCAGTGACCCTCTGTGGAATTCACCCTTCCAGAGTGCAGTGGATGTCAAGATGTTAAGTAAATATTAGGAGGTGAAGGCAAAATTTTAATTAGTAATGAGTTGAAAGGTTACAGAGAGCGGGTGGGAAAGTGGAGTTGAGGTTTAGATGAGATCAGCCATGATCGTGTTGGATAGTGGAGTGAGCTCCTAGTTAAGACCATAAGACATAGGAGCAGAAATTAGGCCATTCAGCCCATCAAGTCTGCTCCACCATTCAATCGTGGCTGATAAGTTTCTCAACCCCACTCTCCCGCTTTCTCCCCTTAACTTTTGATCCTCTTGACAATCAAGAACCTATCTCCATCTTAAAAATACTCAATGACCTGGCCTCCACAGCTGTCTGTGACAGTGAATTCCATAGATTCACCACTCTCTGGCTAAAGACGTTTCTCCTTATCTCTGTTCTAAAAGGTCTTCTCTTTACTCTAAGGCTGTGTCCTCACTTCTGAGTCTCTTATGTTCATAGATTGTCTTTTTATCCCAGATTTTTTATTGAAGACAAATTTGTAGGATTTGAACTCAAATCCCAAGAACATTCTGAATTCTACTGCAGTGTCATTACCACTGTGACACCAACTCGCCTTGAGGCTTGGGTGGACCAGAACAGATAAGGTAGGGGAGTTACAGAGTTCTACCAACTTGCTTCTGTCTTCTTGCTGTCTGTAAGTTGGTCACTGTCGTCTTTGTTGCTTACACATTGAAGTTTCTTGTTACCTGTAAGTTTTTACATTGTACCTTTTATCTGAAGTAATGGATGTGGCATGTTTTGAAACTTCATCTTCTATAATTTATAATTTTATAATTCAGCTTTCACCGCAACCAGAATTCCTTTTCTATCAATTATAGGTAAGACAGATGAGTTAAAGATATGGATTGATGTGTGAAATTGACATGTTATGCCATCAAAGAGATGTGGTTGAGAGAGGGGCAAGACTGGCAACTCGGCATTCCAAGGTATGTTACGTAAGATGGGAAGGTGTAAAAGAGGAAGTTGTGTTGAGTTATTAGTTGAGGATTCAGTTGCTACAATAAGGAGGGATGATGTTTTAGAAGGCTTCTTAAATGAAGCTTTCTGGGTAGAGCTGAGGATTTTAAAAAGGGTAGTCACACTGTTAGGGGTCTATTATTGACCCCAACCCCCCCCCCCCCCAAACAATCAGTGGCAATTAAGGAGCAGGTATGCGCTCAGCTCACTGAGGTGTGTAACACTAATAATGGAGTGACAATGTTAGGGGATTTGAACTACCCCAATATTATTTGGGATAATCATTGTATAAAGGGTTTACAGGGGACAAGTTTCTTGAAATGTGTTCAGAACAGCTTTTTATATTAACAAATGGATGGTCTTATAGGGGACCACAATGCTGGACCTAACTAAGGCAAGTGAGTGTTTGATGTGACAGGGGGGGTGCATTTTAGCAATAGTGACCAGAACACTCTACAATTTAAGTTTGTTATGTAAAAAGAAACAAGATGGTCTGCAAAAAACGTTCTGGATTAGGGGAAGGCAGGTTATATTAAAATAAAGCAGGATCTGGCCAAAATACACTGGGGACAGCTACATCTTGGCAAATCCACAGCAAAACAGTGGGAGGCCATTCAAAAAGGTATTGGAGAGAGTGCAGGCCCAACACCCTTACGGTGAAATGTCAGAACAACAGACCCTGAATGCCAAGGAATATTGAGTACTGGATAAGAAAGAAAAGAGATGCAAAGGGAACAAATCAACGGACACCATAGTAGGGTATAGAATCTGCACGATGGTTGACAATGGTCTTAGATTACAGGAGGATATAAAGAGATTGAGCAGATCATTGGCAAATGGAATTTAACCCTGATAAATTTCAGCTGATACACTTTGGATGAAGACAGGAGAGTACTCAATGAATGGTAAGCTCAGAGGAACAGAGAGATCTTGGGTTGCCGTCCACAAATCCCTGAAGTTGGCAGGCAGGTTAGCAAAGTGGTTAAGGCATGTGGGACTTGCTTTTATCAATCATAGCATAGATAACAGGAGCTGAGAGATTATGTTGGAGCTGTATTGAAGTTTGGTTAGGCCACAGCTGAAGTAATGTGTGGGGTTCTGGTCACCTCAGCATAGGAAGGATGTGTTTGGACTAGAGTTGGGGACAAAGGAGATTCACCAGGATGTTGGTTGGGTTGGAGTGATTACCTACAAAGAGACACTGAATAAGCTTAGGATGTTTAGAGCAGAGATGGTTTGGAGAAGAGGGGAGGATCTTAGAGGTGCATGAGATTGAGGAGCACAGACAGGATGGATAGAAAGTAGCTGTTGCCATTACTTGAAGAGTCAGTAATTCAGCAGCACAATTTAAAGGTGGACGTCAGGAGGTCTAGAGGGGATTTGAGGAAAATCCACTTCACCCAGAGGGTGGTAGGCATCTGGAATGCACTTTTTTGGAGGGTAGTTGAGGTAGGTAACCTCACAACCTTTAAAATGTACTCAGAAGAGCACTTGGAGGTGTCATAACATTTAACACTACAGGCCTAGTGCTTGAAAATGGGACTAATATAGACTTAGTGTAGTTTTGGTGGCACAGACACAATAGACCGAAGGCCTCTTCTGTACTGTATGATTCATTGATCATATCTAAATCAGGTCACTTATCGATTTTAAACGGACCAGAGTTTGTTACTACTTTAGCTGCTTTTATCCCATCCAATATTTTGACTTGTTTAGTGTAGCAGACAGCTGTAAACTGTTGTCAGGACAGGATGAACTGCATGAAACTTGGTTCTATTCTTCAGGTCTGGGAGACGGAACGGGATATGTAGCCATGAACCATGGAAGTGATGAAAGAACCTGAGATACTAATTGATGAACAGCCTGCATCATCTGGAATGCCCAAGCCCAGCGAGCTTCCTTTGGGAATCCTAGGGGGTCATGCCTTTTGGTGCATGACATGTGGAAAGGGGTTCAAGTGGCGTTGTCTTCTGGATGCCCACCTGCGGGTACATACAGGGGAGAAACCTTTTGAGTGTCTTCTATGCATGAAGCGTTTCAGCAAGTCTAACGAACTGCGAGTCCATCAGCGCATTCACACTGGTGAGAAACCCTTTGAATGCCTTATGTGCAAGAAACGCTTTTATCGTTCCAGCCACCTGAGCAGACACCAGCAGTTCCACACTGGGGAGAAGAAGTTTGAATGCCAAGTTTGCACAAAACGCTTTTTTACCTCCAGCCACTTGACCAGGCACCAGCGCATTCACACTGGTGAAAAGCCTTTTGAATGTCCTGAGTGCAGCAAGCGGTTCAACAGCCCTAGTGAATTAACAGTGCACCAGCGAGTTCACACTGGTGAGAAGCCATATGAGTGTATAGACTGCAAAAAACGTTTCAACCGACCTGGTGACCTGACAGTACACCGACGGATCCATACTGGTGAGAAGCGGTTAGAATGCCCACAGTGCAAAAAACAATTTAGTCGACCCAGTGAGTTGGTTGTCCACCAGCGGGTTCACACTGGGGAGAAGCCCTTTGAGTGTGCTGTGTGCAAGAAACGCTTTTACACATCTAGTCACTTGATCCAGCACCAGGGAATCCATACTGGTGAGAAGCCCTTTGAATGCCCTCTTTGCAAGAAGCGCTTCTACAGATCCAGTAACCTGACTAGGCACCAGAGAGGAGAAGGACATAATGAGAAAGGTAATCCAAATCAGAATCAGAGATAGCAAGAACTGCAGATGCTGGAGTCATAGACAA